CCTCTCTGTGCTACATTACATACATTCTTCCCTGCTGCCCTGCCCCGGTGCTGGTGTTGGTGCTGGTGGTAGCCCAAGGCCCCTCCCTCTGCCCCTGCCCCTTCCATTAGTTGCGGGCATCGTCTGCTGGTGCTGGTCGTATCGCTCGGTGGGATGGTACACATGCTGGTGTGCGCCGTAGCTGCTGTGTCGGTCGATGGGCGAGCCGGGGATGAGGCGGTCATCGAGACCTGTCGACCAGTCGGCTCCCAGCGCCGCACCCACACCCACATGCACACCCGCGCCCACACGGCCAGCAATGACCTCACCACCGTGGCGGCCTCGATCGGGGGATGACGAGCGGCTGCGGAAACGCGCTGTGGCGAGATGGTGCTGCCGTCCGTGGTGTGGCTGGTATGACGGAGGGTATCGGGTTGAGAGTGGGTCGGGTTTGGGCATCATGCGCAGATGGGACGGGGCGGGGCGACTGTAGAGGTCCAGACCAGACGAACTCTGGGCCTGAGAGAGACACAGGGTCAGTATTCATCTGTTTGGTGCCCGCCAGTGATAGGTTTTCGTGTTGGTTGTCAGGCCCCCACCTGCACCTTCCCAGAGTTCTTCAAGAACCCTTGCGAGCGAAGCCCCATCGACACTATGCGCTGGTCGAAGCGGTCGAGATCGTGAGACACTTGGTCTGGGGAAGAGTCGCGACTGGCACGCCTGCCTCGGCCGCCGCCACCAGGAGAGCGGCGCCTGTCAATGCCCCCACGCAGCGCGTCGCGGTCGTCAGATGGGCGGTGCGGGTGCGCTTGGTGGGCAGGTTGCTGCTGGTGGCTGGGGGGGTGGCTGGGGTGGAGGGTGAGTCGCTCATGGCGCCAACCACGCCGCTGTCGAGGTTGGATGGGACGGCATGATGGTATGATGGGACGGGCGAGCCGGCGTGGTGCTGCGCCGCGCCACCTGACGTACGGTCGTCATCTGACACACACACACATCCACACACATCCACACACGCCCACACAATGACCGCTTTCATGTGTGCGTGGAAGTAGTGAGGGCGCTGCTGTCTTGGTGACACTGCGTTCGCGAAGTACCTTTGCGATTGTCCATGTGTGTGCGAGTCGATATCGCTCGACATCGTCGGCCCCCATCGGGACCCCTACACGCCACACAACAGACACAGACACACATTTACGACCCGCTTACACTCACGTGCGCCCCTGCCTTCATGTTTCTTACTCGGCAAATGGCCTCTATCGTTGTCCATGGCTATCTGCGACGGCCCACCCACGCCGCCGCCCCCAGCCGCCCCATCCACGCCGCCGCTCCCCTCCTGCTGCTCCCGAGGCAGCATGTCCCAGGCGTCGAGTATCTCACGTTCGGTCGGCTTGCGCTGCCCACGCCTGCCCGGTCGACGCCGAGACGGTCGGAACCCGTCCATGCCGGTCGGGAGATGGCCGCCAATCTCACCCTTACAAACAACACACAAACACATCCATCCATCCATCCATGCATGTGCAGGCCTGTCTGTCTCCTTTGGCCGGCCTTTGGCTCACTGATGTGGGATGACGACGGAGACGCTCCGTGTCGGAGTCGCAGCCATGGCCGTCCTCGTCGTCATCCTTGGGCGACGCGGGCATCTCGTCGTCGGGTCGGTGGGCAAGGGGGCTGGGGTGGTCGCCACGGCCGACATACCCTGAGACACGTACATACACCCATAACCACACCCGCACCATCCATCCATGCCCTCAACTGTCTGTCCATGCTGTGCTCGTGTCGTGTCTGTGTGCGCTGCGCACCTCCGCCGACAGAAGTGCCACGGCCCACACCTACCATTCACAGCACAACACAACACAACACACATACACGGACAGATCGACCAGCGCCCTGACCCTCCGGATGTGTCGTCTGTGGTTCTTCCCTCCCTTTGTGTGACTTACTCGACAAACCAATGCTACTCCCCTGCCTGATTCCCAGCCCGTGCGATGACCCACCCCCACCCCAACCTCGCACACCACTGCCGTCCCGCTCACCCCCCTCCTGCAGAAACACGTGCCTGGGTCGGACATGTTGCTCTCGGTTGGGGGATGACGACCGGCTGCGGCGACGCGGTGCGGCGACATGCTGCTGCACGAGGAGAGTGTGGTGTGGGTGTGGGTGTGGCACACGCGGGATGGGTGGGTCTTTGGGGTGAGGGCGTCTGGTGCCGGTCTTGGGTGTGGCCTTGGGTGGTGCGGCGGTGGGGGTGCGCCGGATGCCTGGGGGTGGTGTCACGGTCACGGTCGCTCGGTCCTTGATGGTCCAGAAGAGGGCGAGAGGAAGCTCGAGCACACTGGTCCACTCGTCAGCTGTCACCCGACGTAGCGACTCGGCGCTGATGGATGGATGGCAAAACGGACAAAGGAAGGAACAAGCCACAAGAATGCACACACGCGTCTGTCTGTCTGTCTGTCTGTGTCGTGTTGTGTCGGCTTACTCGGTGATGTCGTGGTTCCACAGTACGTTGTAGTAGTGGTTTGCCTCCTCCTTGGCTTCGGCCTCCCCCCTGCCCTTGCCCAACAGATACGTCAGGATCGTCTCGTACAGCCTGAATGCATCACACACACCACACACATACACACATACAAACACCACACACGAGTTACCGGTGGGCCAAAGCCTCTCTCTTTGGTGCTGTGCTGTGTCTGTGCGGGCCCACTCTTGTTCGTCTTGCGTTGAGGCGTGAGCCTCAGGCACACTCGGCGACGAATTGCCGCCCGCACCAGAGCCCCCCTCATCTGCACGGTGCACACACACACACACACACACGCACACACACACAGCTGAGTTTTCGTGTAGACGTGTAGATCATTTCCCTCCCTCCCTGACCTGTAGAAGACACCTTGGCTTGGAGGTCCTCATAGAGGCCAGGCAGTTTCTGTCGAAGGCCCCACGCGGTCCACTGCTGCAGTGAGGTGCGACCAAACGAACCGATACTGATCGATGACAAAAACACACACCACACCCAGGCAGCCGATACGCAAAAAAGCCATGAATGAATCTTGACACACTGCCGTGTCTGTGTTGTGTGTTGTGTGTTGTGTGTTGTGGTGTGGTGTAGTTCACGTGGTGATTCCAAGTGGGCTGAGGATCCGATAGATGGCTATGGGTCGGGAGCTACGATACGGTGCAGTGGAGTCGTGGATGCAAGCACGAATCAGGTTATGAAACGCATGCCTGATCCAAACGACGCACCACAGCACAGCATAAACGCCGCCCGCCTATTCTCTCGTGCTATGTCGGCTTACTGCTGTGCAGTCTGAGGCGAGAAGCGGCCGTGAGGGTCTTGTTGAGGCGTGGTGGAGGGAGCATGCACCTGGCCCTTGGGCATGGTGGGTGGAGGGCAATTCAATTCGTCACTGGCTCATGGATGGATGGATGGATGGATGGATGGATGGATGCAGCATCGCACGCCTTTGAGGCGCCTTCCGTTCACCTTCGGCGTCACTTTCTTGCGACGATCCTTCCAGCGGTTTTACGGACGATGATGCCCTGTCTGAGCTGGCAGTTTTTGCCGGAAATGGGGATGTAGGAGGGGTGCAGCAGCGCTGTGTCATCGCTCGGCTTAGCTATAAAAGCGTGATGTCGTGTCTGCCGCCCATGACGGGCTACACCATGTTCCTCTTCAACAAGTGGAAGGAACACAGGGCCAAGGGGGAGCTGTCTGAAGACGCGGAGGCCGACATATTCCACCAAATCGACAGTGAGCCATCGGCGCTGCCACAACTCGTAATAGCAACGGATGGATCTGCTCATGTGTGCGCTTCTGCATTCCGCCTGTGTGCCCCCAGAGGAGTGGAAGGACACCCCTGAGGCGGCCAGGCAGGTACGAAAACACATGGCATCTCTCTCCACACGCCATCCATCCCATACCTAGATCTATCTGCAATGTGTGTCGTGTCAGGGGCATCGCAAGTTAGCGGAGGACAGCAGATCTCACCTCGTGTCGGTGACGCCGGCCTTCCAGCTGCCCCTCCCCTCCGCCCTGGAGGTGGCCAAAACGGTGATGAAGGGCAGGGAGGCCATCAGCAGCAAGGGTGGCAAGAAGGCCACTAAGAAGGACAAGGAGGGCGGCGAGGGGGAGGAGGATGGCGAGGGGGAGGGGGACAAGCAGGAGAGGGGCGGGGTGGACATATTCAGCGCTGACTGTCTGGAGTTTCTAGTGGTCCGTCAGCACAGCACCCATCACAAGAGGGAGGCAGGGAGGGGGGCATGATGGAACAGTTGTCGATATGATGCGTGCGTGTGTGTGGTGCAGGAGTGCAATCCCGAGCGGACGACGTATGAGTTGTGGCTCGCCGCCAAGAAGAAGTGGACCAGCCTGCCCAAACCCGTCAAGGCGGTCAGTGGCTGAGCGACGCGCCAGAGAGGAACACACAACACACAACACAACACAGCCACCATGCACTGCACTGCACTACAAATGATATCATCCCACCTGTCTGTCTGTCTTTGTGTGGCTCCCTCCCTCCCGTGCCGTGCACAGCGTTTCAACAGGCAGGCAGAGCAGATAAAGTCCGAGGAGCAGGGGGACCAGCACCAAGAGGCACGCGCAAATGCAGGTAGGTACCTATGAGGGAGAAAAGAAAGGCGTGGGCAGGCAGGCAGGCGAAAGTGACTGAGTGATTGGTTGGATCCGAACCCTCGATGGGCTGATTAATTTCTTTCACCCACCCGTCGCTAAGGGCCTTTGGCCAACCGTAGAGCAAGCGAGTCTTGGACTATGTTGGCAGCCTTGCCGCTAGATGCGATGCGGGGATGCTTGGGGTCGGGACACACTCACACTCTCTGCACTGCATGCTCCCATCCATCCATCCATCCATCCGTCCATTGACAGACGAACATATTCCTTCTCCCTCCCTCTGTGTGTGTCGTCAGGTCGCCCAAAGGCGCGTCAGGGGAAGGGCAAGGGGCAGGCCAAGAAGCGCCGTGGCGGTGGCGACAGCGAGGACGAGTACATGGACACCGATGATGACGATGACGACGAGGCAGCGTATGGCTGTGAGGCGGATGAGGAGAGGCCTGACAAGGACGCCCGGATGAAAGCCATGGCGGACAAATTCAAGCACAACAAGGCCAAGAATAAGGAGGAGAGGGAGAGGATCACACGCGAGCAGAAGGAGCCGCAGAAGGACAAGGAGAAGGAGCAGAAAGCCAAGGCCGCCAAACAGAAGGAGGAGGCAGCAGCAGCAGCAGCAGCAGTTGAATCCAAGCAAGACGATGACGCCGGAACAGACAAGGTGGGCGCCACACCAGAGAAGGCATGGATGATGCGCCCATGCGGCCATCTCGTTTCTTTCGTGTGCATGAGTGCAGGTAGGTGGTGGTGTGAAGCGGGAGGCGGCCGGTCAGGCCGAGGGGGGCGGCGGCGGGGCTGAGGGGGCGGCTAGCAAGATGGGTGAGGATGACGATGACGACGACCCGGAGTCGCCCATCAAGAAGCGAGGTTAGTCTGCGTGTCCGTGTCGTGGCAATGTGTCGATGCTGGCTCACTCGGTGTGTGTGTGTGTGTGTGTGTCAGGTCGCATTAAGAGGAGGCCTAGAACAGTGGGGGATGACGACGAATGACGAATGACGTGTGTCTGTGTCGATAGCCAGCTGCTGTGTGTGTATGAGTGAGTGTTCATGCCGATGGGCGATATTGGGATGCATCTCGTCAGCTAGTGCGTCATTCATGAGGTGGTTGGGGCTGTGCAGACGTGGCTGCCTGCTGGTGTGTTGTGCCGGCTTATGCGCTGGTCAATCTCTTTGCTGTCCAGCGTGCGGTTGTCTTGTACTGCTTGCCCTCTCTGCTTGGCCACGGTGAGAACTCGGGGAGCAGAGAGTTAGAGAAGAGATGATCTGGTGTGGCGTGCCATGGTGGGATGAATGGATGGACGACGGGGAGGACTGTACAGACGTCACCGGTGACGATCCATGCATTCATCGTCATGACATCAATGAACGGTCTCAATGTGCCCCCGTTGACCAATTCGCTGTCTATTGCGGTCGACCTCTGCCGCCTCCTTCCCTCTGAGGAGGAGGCGATGGAGGTAGCCCTCATCCTCAACAGCAGATGGATCAAGACAGACGCTGCCGTCAGATCAATCCACTCATGCCATGCACCACACACACATCACACACACATAATTCAATTCAAAGCAGCCCACGCAGCCAGCCATCCCCTCCCCAAATTAAGTCTGCAGCCAGGCAGGCCACTCAGTCCAACACTGCCGTCCATTCATCCATCCGCGGACACACATCCATTCATCCACGTCCACACCAGCATGCATGCCTCCGCGCCACCACATTGGCCTGGGATGACGGTGGTCGGTGTGATGGGTCTTGGTGTGTACGCCTTGCTCAGTCACGGTCGCTGCACACACAGACACACGCACAGACAGACAGACAGACAGACAGACAGAGAAACAGAATGAGGGCACATTGAAGCGCACAAAGAGATGACATCGATGCAGCGCATGCACATAGACACATGACGTGTTCGTGAGCCAGCCCACCGACTGACACCTTGTCCGTCCGTCCCCTCTCTCGCTGCTGCTTGCTTGTGTGTCTTGTCTGTCGGTGTGGTGTGTCTTGTGTCAGTAAGTCAGTAGGTATCAGTCTCTCATGCACACCACACGGCTTGTCTTGTCTTCTGGGCTCTTGTCTTGGCCTTGCCAGCCACCCAGCCAGCCAGCCGGCCAGCTTGCAAATCTTCTGACTCAATCAACGTGCCGTGCCCCATTCAGGCATCAGTCATCAAATCTTCTCTCTTGAGTCTTCTACGTTAATGGCAGGCAGCTGCTCATGCTTGGCTCGACTTGACTTGGCCTGGCCTCTCTTGTCTTGCTGCTTAGAGCTCCGTCCTTGCTCCCCTCCTTGGCCCTTGCCCAGCCAGCCCTCCACCCAGCAGATGTGCTCACCGGTCGTCGCGTCGGTCGTCACGGTGGTAGCCGTTCCTCTCCTCGCGGTCACGGTCATCACGCCTGTCGTAGGCATAGTCACGCCCGCCACCACCACCGCCACGACGGTCCCTGCAGCCAAAAGCGACACACACGACCAACACCTCATGCCATGCGTCCATGTCACACAACCTTGTGTGCGTGTGTGTGTGTGTGCGTGTGTGGCTGAGAATCTGTCTGTCTGTCTGTCCCACCCACCGACCCATCGCGGTCGTCACGGTCGCGCCTGTAGTCTCGGTCATCGTCGTCGTAGCGGCGGCGGCGGCGGTCGTACTCGTCGTCATCGTATCGCCGGCGGTAGTCCCTGTCCCTCTCGCGCGAGCGACTGCGGTCACGGTAACGGTCACGACCGTACCCACCGCCACCGCCACTGCCACGACGCCTGCACACAGAGCAATAGACACAAATGTCACACACACGTGTCGGCATCGCATCAACAAAGGCACGTTTGATGTTTTCTTTCGTCTGCTGCTGAGCTGACCCGCCGCCGTCCGAGGGCATTCGGTTGCGCATGGCGCCGGGCTGGAGGAAAGGGGAGACGCACACAAGGGAGGGAGAAGGATGGTGTGTGAGAGGGACTCTTCCGTTCCGTCCTCGGGCGTCAAGATCGCCTGCTGACTGACCGATTTGCGTCCGTGTTGAGCCCTCATCACGCTAATGGTGTTGCCGTCAAACGTACTCTGACACACGGCAGCAGCAAGACCACCACAATGCCGTCCTGCTCTGCTGTTTGTGTGCCCCACCCACGCACCCACCCTCCCCTACCTGGTTCATCTCGTCCATGGCTCTCTCAGCATCGTCCCTCGACATGAACTCGACGAACCCGAAGCCGCGCGGCTTGCGGGTGGAGTAGTCGAGGGGCAGATACACGTCACGAACCGTACCGAAACGCTCAAACTCCTTCCGAACCATCTCAGGGGACGTCTCTGCACACACCAGATTCCACAGACGCTCCATCATGTCTGTGGTCGTGTCTCTGTCGACTCCTCGCTCTCCTTGCTTCCCATTCTCGTGTTGCTCACCGTAGCGCAGGTTCCGGATGAGGAGAGAGCACGTGTCCTCCTCACGGACGCGCTCGCGAGGCGCGTCGTCGCGGTCGTCTCGGCGGTCGTCGCGCTCGTCGCTCATCTTACTATTCAGCCTCAAGCAGGAGTATGGTACCGTAAGATCTGCGGTGCAAGAAAGTACGAATCTCCTCAGACTGCGAGCTTAAATCCCCCTCTCATGTGCGAGCTTCGCCATCGCGACGGAACGTGCCAGTCCAAAGGCTGTAAGGCAGGAGCAAAGGCAAGACCGCTTAGGCGCGGAGCCATCCGCTTAGGCGAGGAGCCATCCGCAGCATCCCGAGGCAGTTGTTCGATCTGAGTGTTGCTTGCGAGTCAGTGGCGGTCGGGAGAGGGCGGTTCATCGTCGTTGCGCAGTCCCTGTTCGGCCCGGTCAGCAAGCTCGTCAGGAGGAAGCGCAAACACAGCAGAACAGTCTCGAGAAGAGGCGGCTTGTGAGGTGTTTGTGCGCCTTCCCGTGCCTCTGTGTGCGAGAGAGGCAGGAGGATCAGCAGTGCGTGGGTGCGTCGTAACAGCACGGCTGTCTGTCGGGGGGGTCATCTCGTACCGGTGAGGAGGGCTTGCACGGGGACTGAGACATGGCGTGGCGGGGCGGGCATGAGTGCTCGTCCCACCAAACGAGCCGGGACTGACAGGGGATACCTTCTGTGACCTCTGTTGCCTTTTGCTCTGTGTCGGTGTGTGTGTGTTCAGATTGGCCACTGATTGGCCGGGGCACCGCACCATTCGGCTGTCGCTGCAGCAGGAGTATCTATCGGTTGGCATCCGTCCGTCCGTCCCCCACCACCCTTTCCTCGAGGCTAGCCAGCCATCTAGGACCCCACCACCCTGGAGCACGAGGCAAGTCCCTCGTCCCCCTTTATGTGCGGCTACATGGAGGGTGCAGCCTCGCCCACAGACACCCGTGACAAGGAACTCGAGCACAAGGATGCCTCAGAGGGCGCCAGCCCCGCCACTGCCACCACCACCGCCCCCCGCAACGGCATCGACGACCACACCACTCACCCCATAGGCATGGAGAGGGAGGAAGCAGGACCCCCACACGAGCCAGAGCCCCAGGCCGCCGCATCCAAAGCGGCGGCCCCCGCAGCCAGCAGCGCCACCACAGTGTCCCACACGGCGGGCGAGACGACGGCCGCCAGCACGGGGGCGCCGACGCCTACACTGGGCAAGGGCAAGGAGAAGTCTGGTGCGGGTGGTGCGAGGAGGGAGGGTCGGGAGAGGGAGCCGAGGGCCGAGGACCGGGGGGAGGGGTCGGTCGGCGACGGTGGGCCGCACTACTTCAAACTACTCGTCAGCAACGTCGTCGCCGGATCCATCATCGGCAGAAGTGGTCAGTCCGCCCGCACACCGACGCACACACACACAGAGGGGTCAGTGCCTCTCATCCAGTGCCTGTGTGGCTGTGTGTGTGGTTACCTGCAGGTTCGGTCATCACGCATTTGCAGGAGGAGACGGGTGCCCGGTTGAAGCTGTCAGCGGGTCGTGAGTTCTTCCCCGGCACGGAGGATCGAGTGGTGTTTCTGACCGGCCAGCTGGAGCACATCGTCAAGGCGCTCGAGACGGTCCTCGACAAGATCCGCGACGAGGCCGTCCAGGTGGCGAGATCGCAACACATGGCACTCCCGGGGCCCGCCGCCGCACCACCACCAGATGACGCAACCGTCAAGGTAACTAACCATGCACCAAAGGGAAGGGCCTTTACTCGATTGCTCGAGCCTGACTGACATCGATGCGAATGTGTTGCTGGTCGGCATTCATTGGTTGTCTGTGGTTGTCATGTTGACCAGATCATGGTTCGGTGTGTGGTGCCCAAGTCGTCCGTGGGCAGCATCATAGGGATGGGTGGGACGAACGTCAAGGTCATCCAGGAGGAGAGCGGCGCGCGGGTACACGTGTCCGCAAAGGAAGATGAATTCGGACTACAGGTGAGGGAGTGAGAACAAACATGCCAGCCAGCCAGCCAGCCAGAAGAGATGCATGATCGGACCAACCACCACCACGACATGTGGCGCTGACCCCTCTGTGTGTGTCGTGTGTCATGTGGATCGGTCCGGTCCCACAGGAGAGGATAGTGTCGTTGTCTGGCACCTTTGAGCAGTGCTACAAGGCCATCGGCAAGGTGGCGAACACCATCCAGCAGGACCCCAACCTCCCCTACTACCAGAGCGTCTCCTACCCCCAGTTCACACAGTACCAGCGATACCCATACGCCATGCCCTCATTCCCCTCCTTCACCCCTCCCACCCCCCCCAGCGCATCCACATTCACCGCCACACCCCAGGTCGGCGCCCGCAGCGTCATGTACCCCCCATCAGCAGCACAGGGACCCTTCGGTGCGTCGGCCTACGGCTACGGCGATGTGAGCGGTATGGGTGGGGGATATGGGCAGTTCCCGTACTACGGCCCGACCCCCACGGGCCGGATGGGTCAGGCGCAGATGTACCAGCCACCGCTGCCCTACACTGGGGCCTACGGCAGCATCGGCAACACTGCACCGGCAGATGTCCTCCTCTACCCCGTCACAGTCGATGTGCAGGTGAGTAGACGTCACAGGCGCGGTTACACGGCACCTTGTACATCAATTACTCTCTGCCTGGTTCTGGTTGATGTACTGTGTGTGTGCGTGATCAGTTGTCTGACGCGACGGTGGTGAATCTGATGCGGTCGCAGGGGCGGGGGCTGACTGAGGTGCAGCAGCAGTCGGGTGCAAGGGTCAACGTCAGCCCCAAGACAGATGGGCTCCCCACCACCATGCGAAGGGTCACCGTCAGCGGTAAGTAACCATCACATCAACATCAACACGCATACCAAACGAACGAACTGGTTGTCTGGATGGCCCCTCTCTCTCTCTCTCTGTGTGTGTGTGTGTGTGTGCAGGTCCTCTGTCGGCCGTGCACACGGCTCACCTGTTGCTGGTGCAGCGGAGCTACGAGGAGGAGAAGATGCTGATGCCGCCAGCGGGGGCGCAGGCGTCGGGCATGGGCATGCCAACCTACCCCGCGTCATCGGGGTACGGCGGCGGCGGGGGTGGCGGGGGTGCGTTCGGCGGCCCGCAGCCATCGGGGGGATCCTTTGGCTCAAGGGTGAGGGTGAGGAGACACACGGGCAGAGGGCACGGGACCACACCACAATGGACATCCATCTTTTGTTTGATGCTCATACATACATGTGTTTTATTCATCTGTTGTGTTGTTGGGTGTGTGTGTGTTGATTCCTTCAGTATGCGCCCACCCAAGGTCCGTCAGGTGGCAACGGTGGCGGCGTTGGCGGTGGACCCCAGGGCATTACCTCGTCGGGTGGGCAGCACCTGTCGTCCACATCGTCCTATCCCAGTATTTATCATGTACAGTACTAGATACCCACCCACCAACTCACTGCCCGCTCCGCCCTGAGGTGCGTGCGTTGCATTGACTGACTGACTGACTGTATTGGTGCTGTTGCTGCTGTTGCCTAGCCATACGGCTGGCTGGCGAGCATCATGCATGCCTCCTTGACTGATGGGTGGATGGATGGACAAGCAAGAGGGCGGGCGTGTGGGCGGAGATCTCGTGTGTTGTGTCTGTCTGCCATGCCGCTGCCTTTTCTGCTGCTGCTGCTGCTGCTGCCGATGCCGATACCTTGGCTGGTCGCCTGAGTGTGATTGTTTCCCGGTGCGTGTGTGTTTGTGTTGACTTCCGTTGCCGGTGTCACACACATACACATGCCTGGCCTGCATGTCATCTGGGGACGGACGAGAGAGAACTTGGAGGGGAGGAATGGCCGAGCCGAGGTGGGTGATTGGATGGATTGTCTGAGTGAGTGACCGACTGAGTGCCGGCCTGCCTGTGGTGGGTGGGAGTGACGTGTAAAGAGAGAGGCCTGTATCTGCTGCCTGCCTGCCTGCCTGCCTGCTTCGATGCCTGCCTGCTTTGATGCCTGCCTGGCTGCCTATGGTGTCTTGTGCTTAACAGACGGATGGATGGATAGATAGATGGGACAAGGAAGAGAGTCGGCCTTCCTGCCTGCCAGCCCTGCCCACCATACCATCCCCCGTGGTGATGAGATGTGATGCCAACCGACCGACTGCCCGACTGCCTGCCTGTCTGTCTGCCTGTCTGGCTGTCTGTCTGTCTGTCTGTCTGGGGGTGTCACTGTCACACACACGTCTGGCTGATTGTGCTGTGTGTGCTGTGCTGTGTTCCAACACGCCTTTTGCCACACACCCATCGCACGCACACACACACGCACGCACGCACACGAGGACCCGCCCTTTTAGGTTCTCGGAGGGAGGGGAGGGAGGGATCACTTAAGTGCTTCTTCCTTGTTTCCCCACCACCAGTCAATCAAGCAACCACTTCTGACGCTGACGCTGACGCTGACGGTGTTTTTCTCAGGGCAGGTACATAAGTAACTAACACGAATGCGTGTGCACTCACTGGTGAAGAGGCAAACGTGGTAGTCAGGTCTTTTGCGTCACTCACGGCTGGGTGGACTGAGAGAAGAGAGAGCATCTGTTTCGCCATTTTTATGTAGGAGGACACTCACACACACACACACACACACATATCCCAACACACATCCCAACACAGACTGGGTGGCTGGCTGGCTGGCTGGCTGTTGACATGACACGGCCATGGAATGGACGGATGAGTCTAGGGGCATCGTCACCAAGTGAATTTGCTTTGTGGCCAGTCGGTCATCAAGGAATCGATGGCGTTCACTGTTTGATGGGAGACGGTGGGTGGGTGGGCGGTGGGTGGATAGACATGTGACGTGACGTGCCCCCAGAAGTTTCTTTGCCAGCCTCGCCTATGGGTCAGTGAGTGGTCTGCCGAATGAATGAATGGACACTACTGCTGCTGCTGCTACGCTGCCTGCCTGCCTGCCTGCACACAGACACACTTCACACATTTCTCGTACCATCATGGGCTCATCATCATCTCTCCGTCTGTGTGTCTGTCGGTCGCTGGGAGGAAAGAAAGAAGAGAGAGAGAGATGCGCACAACGGTGCACCCGCGCGATTTTCTAACCGTGTCTGCCTGTCTGTCTGTCTGTCTGTCAGTGCGTGTCCATGTTCGTTCACCCGTCCCCCCCTTCTCGCTCGCTATCACTCCGCTCGTTAGCCATGGCCAGTCATGACGGTTTGTTTTCTTTTTCAAGGCCGCCTTGCCGGCTGCTGGCTGGCTGGCTGCCTGCCACCACCACATACCACATACCACAATTGGATTTGTCTGCCGCTGGCCCATCGCGCATTTTGGCGGGTGTCTCTCTCTCCCTCTGTGGTGGGCTTGGGACCTTTCCTCTCGAAATGTCTCTGGTACGGCGCAGAGGTCGAGAGAGCCCGCGTGTGACGACAGGCGCTGGGGTCAGGAGCGGCAAGCGTCTTACTTTTTGGTTCATTCGCGGTAGGGAGGGAAGTCTTTTCACACCCCATCCATCATATATGATTGATGTGCCATGGCTGGCTGGCTGTATTGCTGTATTGCTGTATTCCACACGTCCACACACTCATACATATGATATGTCTGCCTATGGTGGAGGGGGGCGCGGTCATGGGGGGCACGCAGGATGGACAATGGATTTGCAAGGAGAGCGAGCGAGCAAAGCTGGCTGGCGGAAGAGGGAGGCAGTGGCGGACACACTACACTACACACCACCACCTGCACCTGCACCCGTGCGTGATCGTATTTTTGCACCCAGAATACACTTTTCTCTATCGGCTGGCTGCGTGGCATTGGGTGGGCTACATGGAACAAGCGAGCGGGCATATCACTTTGGCACTGTCTGTCTGTCTGGCTGTCTGGCTTGGCTTGCTTACTTTCTAGTGGCTGGCTGAGTGGCTGAGTGGCTGGGTGGCTGGGTGGCTGGTGGGGGGGTGCACAGGACAGGCAAGGAAGGCGGCACGGCTGGTTACACACTCGTCGGGTCGGGGCCATGTCTGGATGTATTTCGATCAATCAATCGGGGTCTGTATTTTTTCTCACACGAGCATCCATCGGGTGGGTCGGAAACACAACACGCTCGATGAGCATACGGACGGACGGACGGACGGACGGACGGCTGGGTGCGTGGCTAGGTGAGTGGCATGCGTTGGATTGGCTTGGTTGGACTCTTATTACATTACATCTTTACCTACGACCTACTTGTCTCTCTCATCTGTCTGTCAGCGTTTCGATCTGTGAAGCAGAGCAGCATGGCATACCAACATAACAGATAGCTAATGGCAGTGTGGCTTTCACTCGTGGAGGGATGATATCATAAAGCATAGCATAGGCAGGCTGTGGCGTGGACGGGATGGGTGGGCTGGGCGGCAGGGCGGCTGGTGTGGTGGACCGGACCACGGTTCGATCTCGTCTTTTCTTCACTCAGCCGCCCACCTACCGAGACAGCCAAGGGGTCAGTCAGTCAGGGAAGGGAAGGGACGACAGACAGATGGATGAGACGCGGCACGACACGACACGGCGCGCCACACAGCTTTTTACCGTCCGTCCGTCGGTCCATACGTATCTATCTATCGTATGTGCGTATGCATCGTCTTGTCATGCACCGGGCGTGGCGTGGGTAGACACACACATTCCATTCATTCACTTCACACAGACAGACTCACTCATCTATTCTATTCTATTCTTCTTCTATCACTCAGTGTTTAGGTCTTTCGGCTGGCTGCTGTGTACATGACATACAGAGGGG